ACCCCAAAACCCCAAAACCCCTCAATTCAATAATAATTTTTAAGATTTAGAACTTTTTAATAATAATAATTCAGATAATCATATAATGAAACTAAAAGCAGTAATTCTGATGATTTGGGCTTATTTGATCATTATCTAAGGCTAAGACATTCCGAAGAATATTACAATAGCCATGCAGAGTTATAAGAATTATGTAATTATTTAGTAATTTGATAGTTTATGAGTATATAGAATATGCCATTTGTTGTTAAACTTGATTTGTCCTTTAATATCTAAATCGGAGGAAATAAAAAGAAGGAGACAGTAAATGAAACTTTTGAGCTTTTAGCAGATATAAATAAATTTGTATGTCTAATTATTCATGGATAAAGATTTATAGGTCACGATAATCTATGTCGACTATGAAGTAGATAACTAATTTTTCGTTTATGTAAGTTGTCACTAATTGAGATTATTTTTATTAGACTTGACATTAGTAAAATATTCAATCACTACCATAGAATTTAACCATTAACCATCATTGCAATAGATTCCTCGATACAATACTCCTCTTTAAGGAATATTTACAGATGTTGATATTTCCATATAAAATCCAAATGACCCTACTGATTTCCTAATATTAAGAGTGACTTGCTTTCTAACAAAATCTAGAAGCAATTATACTTCTCTGGGACATAATGGATATTTAGGTCTAGCACCTATGAGAAAAGATGACAAATCAAAATCACAAAATTTTTCATTCATCTACTAATTGAAAAACTCCATGAAAATTTAAAAGAACCTAGCAATTAAGTACTCTATTTATACTACATAAGATTTGGGCTTAAACAAGGGATCTTTAGAGTTTTATAATGCTGATGATGATCATGATTTAAAAATCTCAAAAGACTACAGTACAAAAATAAAAGCAAATCTTACTAATAGCACTTTGTATTAGCCTCTCATAAATTCTACCTTTTGTAAGATTTTAAAGTAAACCTAAAAATTGAATAGAATAACCATTCTTGAATAATTTAACAGTTGATTTGGGGAATTTTATTCGAACAGTACAGATTCAGGAGTATCACTCTTTTGAAAACACTTCTTAAGAATCTACTTTTGGTACATTCCTGAATATCTCTGAGGTCGGAATAATACTCAACTTTGGTATTCTATTTAATTATCAATACTCATTTTTAGAATACTACTCCTATTTCAACGAAAGTTTTTTGTTTTGGAACTGTTATTTCAGATATGATGGAATGAGGATGTGTAGATGCAGAGGAAACAGTTTTGAAGGCATGCCAAATATTCAGCTAATCTCGTAAAAATTCAGCTATTTGATGGAGCCCTCAGATTATCTACTTTATCCAACGATCGAAACAGTAAAACTTTTAATGTTAATTTATGCTAGGATAATCGAGAGACGAGATGTGCCTTAGCGGTGTAGAACACAAGCAATCCTGAGTCTAAAGCTAGGAACAAAAATTTCACGCTTGGACAAACATACTTTGCTCTTTTCAACCCAATATTTTTGGTTGATTTTAGCAATGAATCTGATCCCTAATTTTATGTTTATCTCAAAGAGTATGTTTGAATTATACTAATTTTATTATTTTAGTGGTGATACAAATATAGAGAGAAGTTTATAACACGTTATTACAATGCTTATATTCTTAGTTGTTATGATAGCATTGATAACTCTGTTTACAAAGGGAAAATAAAGTAGACTTAAGATTTAGTATTAAAGATGGAAAGATATTAAGGAATTGGAAGATGATTATGATGTATACGTCTCTGATGAATATGCTTACCACATTACGGATTTAAAGGTGCAGATGGATTAGCTTTAATCTATCGAAAATTATACTAATGGACAAGAAAATCCTAGTAAATCTTCTCTAATGAGTATCAACGGTGGATATGCAAATTCTCATGCTTTTGCCTCTAGGTTACAAGGATATAGTTAGATCAATAAAAGGTAATAGGAGCAAACGAATCCTAACAGTTATGGGTCTGGTGTCAAACTAAGATCCTCGAAAAGAACTGGAAGTGTTGTAATTGGAAGTAAAAATTCAGATTCCTTTTTAGAGTCTTGAAGATTATATAAAATACTACCTAAAAGAGGGCACAGCTAGTTCTATCAAATCAGATTAATTTATTTGTTTATTATTAGCAATTAAATATAAAGTCATCAGGGGTTTTGGGGTTTTGGGGG